TCTGAAACAGCGAACCTTATAAAAGTTCCGGTTTCTTGAAATAGTGAATATTTTACTGCAGCCTTTCTCTTTACCACAAGAAGTAGTTTTGAATGATAGGAAGTTTTAGATTTCTCACCATTTTTATCATCATTTGCTCTATTTACAATGTTTAATTTCCATTGTTAATAGCCTGTGAAGCGCAACAAAGCAGTGCCTAATTATGCAGCAGTGCTTGGGTTTCCATTCAAACATTTCTTGTCATGCGAGTGGAGAAAGTACAGAACAAGGTTAAGATGACTTTCAGTATGGGATACATTAGTGAGATATAGGACATACTGGGCATTATTCAGTATAGGATACATTATGCAAGCATAGGACATATTAGTAGGAAAAGATGACATTCTCAAAACGTCAGTGCAGATATCACCAGGAATGGTGCCTGCATGCACACATGCGCTTTGACATTAGGGATTTCAAATGTATCGAAGAACTTTTGAATTAATAGGAGAATTTGAGAGAAATGCATGAAATATTGGCCAAGATTAGCATTATAAATACAAACTACGCGGTCAATACCGCCATCCATTTCATTCATCTGCTTCCTCTTCAATATAGAAGATCACTAGTAAGCGAATGGTATTGCCAGCAATAATTCATCTATAGCCTATTTTAAAATGCTATTTGAATATTCTGAAACAGATGTTCATATAAAGGTAAACAAAATGGAGTTTCATCCTCACCACTCATCACTGATTCAAACAATTGACGCGAGACTACCCTGACAAATAGATATAATTCTTGGATCAATCAAATGCAAGAGGTTTTCTATCACTGATGTAAGATATAAGAGAATTTGAAGGAAAAAATTATGCTTTTACTTTGTACAATTGTACTTTCCTTTTGTGGAAAATAAGAAAGTTATGGTACTTCTCATGAGTGTTAGGGATGGACTGCAAGTAACAATTTAATTTAATAATGTAAAAAAGGATAAGAATGTTCATAGAGACATTCCAAGCACTATCTATCAAAACGCTTAAACTATAGCTTCAACTAGATAATATTTCAATTTAATTTCAACTGCCGAAATCTATAATTATATGGGAATAAGTTTACGTAATTTGTGTTCACAATTGTATCAATACACATTAATCATTGTCAGTCAATGTTTGGAGGAAAATTGGGTAAAATTGAAGGCCATCAATTCATCCATCTATCAAAATTTTATCCAGTATCGATCTTCGAATTTCATGTAAAAATATACTGACCTCATATTTCGGTAGATTTCTTTCAATTTTAACTAGCGAAGGTAGCAAACATCACACACAAGAAGTACCAGTAGTGAATAATTAATTGAAATCAAGAAATATCTAATTTAGCATGAATTTCAAATATTTCGTAAAGCATTTCCTATACTTTCCAGATAGAGAGAGTTTTTGGCAAACATACATGTGACATCACACAGACGGATACTGTTACTTGTCATCATCAACCTTTTTCACAATACTCGTTTCAAATAACATTGATCCGTTTATTATATGCAAAGAATCAAATATATGAATCCAGAATTACTTCTAGAAATCATTATATTTTCAAAATACAGTACGTATAAAGAAGGATTGGAAGATAATCCAGCTTTTTTTATTTCTCTGCTGATCTTTATATTTCTCAGTAGATCGCATAACATTGTGATATATATTGACTTAAAAGACTTTGGAATGAAACAGCAGGTGCGCATGATGATTGCGGAATGCACTCAGGATAGACCTAATTAACTACGACTTACAATAAAGGATTACTACTAATTAACGAGATGGCAATAGAAAAATGGGAGAAACTCGAAACTCAGAAGATGAAATTGCATACTGATTCGGATAAATTATACGAAGGTGTATAACTTTCTACCGAACATAAAAATTCTAATATCTTGTAATTCTAATGCCTTGTAAAAATTCTAAAAATTCCAATAAACCTGTATTGGAATTTTTCGAGGTACCCGGTAACATCAAAAGATCAGCCATACCTTCGTGCCACCGCCGAAACCGAGCCATCATCGCTTACGATTATTCCTTATGTGGGCAACGCCGCTGATAGAATGGAGATGAAATTTGACAAGCTTTTTGCAACTTCATCCCTATCCACTTAACGACACCCTGTCATAAAAGTGGTGAAAAAATTCCCGAAAAAAAGAAAAAATTCGGTCAGAATGAGATACTTGTACGTCATATTACAATCCTCAATTGTAAACTGATAAGTTGGAGATAACAGACAAATACCTGTTTCCTTTCACTCTCCGTACTTTTACATCTAGCTCGAATTCCTTAGAACTTTAGAAAATAAAACACGCACACTCACAAATGAACATCGTCACACTCAGTGGAGATGAGAATTCTAATTCCGATGCGGACTCTGCAAAAGGAGGACAGTTTGTTTATTCATCGATCTGTGTGTGTGTGTGTGTGTGCATGTGTGTGTGCGTCTGCGTGTATGTTTGTGTGTGTGTGTGTGTGTGTTTATATCTGTGTGTGTGTGTGTGTGTGTGTGTGTCGATGATGTCTGATTGTGTACCTACGTATATTTGGTGTGTAAGAAGTGTTGGCTGAGTGCCCGTTGTTGTTTATTTACGATGGAGTTTGATGTTAACAGCGTGGTCTGACCTCTATACATTTCGTTCTTTTGTTCAGTTGATTGACCTAAAATAAGGAGAAACTTTTATATGTTAGTATACGTGCTTAAAAGTGCCTAAGCAGAACACGTATGATCTATATCTTCTCCTTTGTCATTATTTCAGTTTTGTCGAAAAGTCAATGTTTTATTATATGTGGCATCTTTTCTCGGATCTCTTCCGTTTTTTGCTATTTATTCCTCTGATTATATTTAAAAACCCTCACCATCAGAATTTCTCTTAACACTTACTATATTTCATTTTTAGTGATTATCATGGTCATGCTTTGAGAAAGATCTGGGGAGTAGGCTTTATCCAAGCTTGCTGCGAATGCCACAAATGTGCGTGTATTCTTTCGGCCTAGGCACTGGATTTAGATGAGGCATAGCGTGCGCGGAACTGACCCACCCTTTATCCCTAGGGATCATTTGTCAGGGTCTAGCGAGATGGTGACAGTGAAGTCCTCAGGACGTAGATTCTGTTAGAGTATCCTTCTCTTAGATGAATGGCCTTACAAAGCTAAACGAGCTTCATCTGCCAGGTTTGGAGTTAAAGTTGTCTTTCTCCCAAGGTGGTTATCGGAGGGTAGCAAACCCACCCTGCCCGTTGACACACTTTGTCTGACCCTTCAGCTGAGACCTTTCTGACATTGGAGACCTTACTGGAGGCTTTGGCCACCATTAGCATAACTCGCAACCTCATCAGGATATGCAAGGTTCTCTCTCGTGATAAAGTCCGTGGAGGAGATTTCATGCTAATGTACTTCTGTCATTCGTTACCACTTTCAGACCCAACTGATCTTTATTTTCCTTTAAAGCACTCCACTGCTCTCGAAGTTCCAGAATAAGTAATCCTGTGAGATGCTCGTTTTCATTATCATTGCACGCTACCTTCATCATAACACTCTTCCGAAAAGGACTTCTGGTTTGTTGGTTGTGACAATTTAACTCTAACTGTAATCGACAAATAACAGGATCGGTAGTGCGTTGTGATTGTAACAGACTTAATTTGAAAATGATTAGTGAAACTTATGGGGAAACCCTGATTTGAAAAATCAGGAAAAATTAAAAAAAAAAATTAGCAGGAATTAAAATGT